CATAAAATAGCACCGTTACAGATTTTTAGCTAAATGTTCTATACATGGACTCTCAATGGTTTTTTTCCTGAAGTGCCTGAGTTATTTATCTCAACAGATTTCTCCACTTAGGAATTTCTTAACCAAAAGGTTCTCAAAGGAAGCAGTTCAATGCAAACTCTCAATATGCCACATTTTGGCAGTGATTGCTTAATGCAGCCAGTGTACTAATGAATTGCTCCACTGCATCCTCTGATCATGAATATGAATCGGAGTACTATAAACTGAACTCAATGTACTGATAAGTGACTGTATCTGATTGTGCCAGCAGCCAGATGATTTTCTCATTAATGAGCTGATCTATTAAAAGATGGAAGAATACGAAGCCAAGCCCGCTTTGCATTGTCTGCACTCCTTTGCTGTTTTTCCAGGCCAACGAGGAACCTTTGTCAACTAGTAAAAGAAAATTCACTCTCAAAAAATGTTTTACAAATGCAGTTGGGACAAATAAAAGTTTCAAGGCTTGGATTCTGTTTCTGACTACATGGATGTGACTCTTCTGTGGTTGTGGTGTTTCTGTTTTAATATGAGGTAAACCAGATTTTAACATTAAGGAATTACACACATCCTCTGCTTTTCAGTCTCTGCTATTCTGAGTATAGGAGCCCACAGCTGCCAGTAAAACACAGAGTTCCTCATCCTTCTGACAACCTTTACTCTGCAGAACTTCTAAATTCATTAGATTGAGGACCCCAGATTTATGAAAGGCATGTTGCAAACACATCCTTTGGAACAACAGTGAACTGTTAGAAGTATTTTTTAATTTTGATGCTTTCAGAGTCTTATTCCATGCCAAACACTGGTATGTCAAACTCCATTACTGTTCACAAGCATCACCATTTTGTGTTGCAGTTTAAATATGGCCACATCTCAGCTGGAGGCAACTTCAGTGCAAGTCCAGGATGAGGCACCTGGATCACTTTCAGAGCCCCTAATGGTTCTAGACCTCTGCTCTTACAGAAATGTGAAGTGTGTCTTATTTAAAAAAAAAAAAAAAAAAAAAAGCAGAAGAAAAAAAGAAAGAAAGAAAAAAAAAGGTGTTGCTTGAAAGCTACAGCATCACATTTGGACCAGAAAAGTGTGGAGTGAATCTGTGGTCAACGCTGTTACAGCAATTCTGCCTCTAGAGGGCATTGCAAGCTAAATGTTTTCCCTGACAAGTGTTGAGAACATCTTGGATCAGCCCAGAAGACAGTTCTTAAATTACCTAAATTAAGAGATTTTTCTGTGTTTACAACATCAGCTATGCAGGAGTCAAACAAAATGATTGGGTAGCCACACTGGAAGAGCCTTAATCCGCTGAGTAACAGCAGATAGTTTTGGTAAGAAAAGATGTTACCCGACACTTTCTAATATCCCTGAAACTTCTCATGATGTGAGGTATCGTGAGCAACTTTTGGCACATAGCTGTTCCATTTCAATGGCTTTTCCTGCATCCTTTTTATGAGCACCACAATGCCCAGTGGTGGTTAGACCCAAAGAGCATTGGTCACCATTAGCACAGAGGCTTTGAATCCTTAGCACCTGGCATGCAGGGCCAGCGTATCTGATACAGAAAGAGATAACATTATTATTTGACTCTTTCAAGATCTGTGATCTATACAAATTGCTCAGTTACCAGTGCATATCCAAGTATTACGTTCCAGGTTTTTCATGTATTAGACAAAGATATTGAAGTGACATATCAGAGATATTCTGTTAGTGGGCTGGGATGTCAGGTTCTTCCCAGTAAGTGCTGCTTCTTAAAGGTATTTGATAAGCCTCTTCAGCCCCGCAGTATGAAAAAAGCCCAGCAGTAACTTTTTTCCTCTGTACACGTGGACTAAATTGGTCCAAATCACAAAAAACATTTGTGTTCCTGTGGCTGAAAAGCAAGGACCATGCATGTCTCGCTGCATGCTGAAGGCCATATTTGATATTGCAGTAACCAGGTCGCTTTGGTAGAGTTTGACTATATGTGTGTTACTGTTCACATTTGTTCAACTACTGTTGACTGAAATACATTTAATGGGGCAACTAGAGTAATTATGCTTCTTATATTTGTCTGTTTCTCTGGCATCACAGTGATTCTTTTTGATTTTTAGATACTGCTGTGAGTAGTTTGCTAAATGTCATAGCCAACTACATTTCTAAGAGGCTACATATCTTCCCTGCTCATCAAGGTCCATGAGGCCCTTTCAAATTTTCAGAGTGTTCCTTTGCCGGTGCCTTTATCTATATCCATTCTGCATTGCTAAGATTTTGTGCGGTGAGAATAGATGGTAACAACTCCTATAAACCAGAAAAATCCTCTCTAGAGTACACACCATTCAGTACCGGAATGTTATAAAACAACAATTTTATTAATAAGGAAAACCTACAATAAATAAAATATTAAAAACACATTACTGAAATATATTGCAAAAAGCAATTTGATAATTAAAAGTGATTGGGTAAATCATATCAATAAGAAAGATAAACAGGAGAAAAGTGAAATCACATAATCTCTTAGTGTTTGTATTGATAGACTGGTGACATAATGACATTATCAAAATGGTATCAAAATTCATTATCAAAAGCAGAGTTGCTAGCATTCACTTCCAGGTTATTTTTTCAATCTTTCATGATGTTCAATTCTTCTACATAATAAAAACCTACTGGTGTCCCCACCGTTATATTACATATTTTGAGTTTCTTTTGTAATCAAGGGAGTCCAACATGCTGAAGGTATCCCAAGGCTGGGTTCTTAAATTATTACTAGCTGTTCCCTTTAATATTGGGAGTTTTCTCTATCAGCCTCAGACCTGTGTAGAAAAAGGGGTAGGGGCAGATTCTTTAGCCCACGCCAGCAAAGATTCCTGGACTGTGCAGCATCCAGATGGGAGTTAAAATTAAAAGTCGAGATCCATTGACAGTTTCATAGATTGGTACGCTTTTATACTTTAAAATATCTTCAAGCTAATCTTCTGTTAACTCTCTGCATGGGCTTATATGCAGTTTAAGAGAGTAATGAAAATAACAAACAGTGTCTACATAACGGAAGAATTGGTAGAGGTCCCACTAGAATAATTATCAATGGTTTGTATTAAATGTACTGAGTAAGTGCTGGATGTACTTAATGAGAAATGAAAGGATTCTGGGATTATAGTGTGGGCACACAAAATAGTTTGGATGTTACATGCTGACAAATGACATAAATTCTATGTGAATTCCAGTTAAAGGATAGGATTCCCTACGAAATATAATTAGCAAAAGAACTCCAAAACCCAAACCTGGCTGGTAATATGGTTGCTACTTTATTAATTTTGTGGATGCTTATCTAATAAAATGAACAGACTTGGTTTTGTGCAAGAAGGTTTCCGGGAAGTAACTAGCTGCTTAGAAATGAAGAAGTTTTTTTTTCTTAAGAGGAAGAAAAGTGAGTATGTATCAAAAAATTAATATTAGAAGTGTTGGCTTTAACCTCCATCTGTGCTCCAGACCCTTAGCTGTGAGCCCTACCACCAGTGCAGTGCTGGTCTGCCTGGTACGCTCTGTTTTGTCCTGGGGTCAGAGATACTGGAAGGAAGAAAGGGAAAGAAAGATTAATCTGATAAAGGCATTGCCATTTCTAATCGGACTGATGGGAAACTGTGGTATGAAGTTAAAGAGGCAACACAGGGTGAATTACTGTGATGAGCTACCTTAAAGCTGAAGCAATCAAATAGATAGCTCTCACATATAAAAATTACTGTGGCATCTTTATTCATCAACAGTTTTGCACGAGTGTCTCATGTTCAACCCCTTCCACAAACAACTAAAGCACTCTGATGCATTTGATCAGATTAACTCTTATTGGGGAGACTCAGCCTCTGAGGTGGCTGCTTCTCTACTCCCCAGAGTTAATTTCTCACTGCCATGCAGAAGAATAAACTCTTCAAAGCTTGAAAATTACAAACTCCAAAAAGTAACAGCACTACAGCCGGGAGCCTGCACTCGTAACCTGCTGCAGTGGAATTGGAAGTGCTTTTGTTGTTATGTGTGATAGCAGTAAAGCTTCCCCGCGTAGGCCGAGAGCTGAAAACCTGCATAAGTGAAATTTGTGATTCCTAGTTGAGAAAGTACTCACAGAGACAGACATCTGATGGAGGTTTTTTGCAAATTTGTAGAGGACGAAAGAATCACAGGACAAAATTCAGTAATTAAAAGCCTACCATTGAGTAACTGATTCAAATATTATAAACATGTTCAAATACAGTCAAATGCTCTGAAAAGCAAACGTGGTATCCTAAGGACTTCAGAGTAAAACTCCTGTAAAAATTCACTCACATAATTTTAAGAACTACCTTACAATTTGCTCTTAAGTGGATATAGAAAAACTTATCTAGTAATAAGGTGTATATGTTGTTAGAACTTTATTTTTTCAACACTGATGCTATATCACCCACAGAAGAGCTAAAAGGATTTAAAATAGTACCTTCCATGTAAATAGCCTATCCTGTCCTTCTGAAGAGATGAATCAGTATCCAAAAAGGACATATACTAACACTGAAAAGGAGGAACAACAAGGATGAACCAAACACATTTATAGGTGTGAGAAAAAACCAATAGATGTAACTTTTAAACCTTTTTTCTTTTTTTAGTGTTAGCCTCACTTACAAATCTGTAATAAATACCATGCGATTCCAAGTCTTTTACTTGATTATTCTGGTTTGGTATCCTAAAGGATTTACATTAAATAAAACATAGCATTTTCAGAAATCATTTTCCTAAGAAATTTTTTTTTTTTGCAAAACCATAACAATTTTTTTTTTTATTAATGTTGGAAACTGTACTGGTTAAAGATCAAGCAAAATCAATTAATGCTACTTCAGACATAGTATACATCACTTTACAGAGAGAGTACTTTATGGGATATTCAGTCAACATACTGCTGTGCATTTGCTGAAATACATTTATTGATTACTTCTCAGGTGTCTTATATTGTGTAGTTTACAGGACGATTACACTATTTGCCCAGTTCTGGAGTAAGTTTTTCCAAACTTTTCAAAGAGAACAATCGATGGTAACACTGTTTGAAAGTCCTAAAGAAATAAGAGAGACAAAAAATGTGTTAGGTTTTGCTTTCATGGTGTTACCTTTTTTCTAAGGTATTTTAAAGCTCTAAATATTGTCATCTAGCTAAATTTCATTCTATGTTAGAATGTAAATTATGTAAAATAATGTATATGAAACATTATTATATGTACATTATTTTGAAGAAAAGCACAAGAATTGAATTATTTAACTGCAAGCAAATATGTATTTCAAACTCTGAGTAACTGTAGGCACTGCAAAAATTTCCTGCTCCAAAACCTAGATTTTATAGTTTTTTGCAAATCATAGTATACAAAATCATATTCTCCTCCCTGGCAACCAGGTAAATTAGAGACAGCAAGATATCCTTGCAATATTATACCTTTTTTACCTTATTTACCATTAAAACATGGATATTAAACCAGCTCCATGAGAAATGGTAATTTTATGTATATAAAATAACTATTAGTAGAAACAAATTAATTAGAAGTTCTGGTAGAAAAAATACAAGCAGGGTGATTCCTGAGCACGCTTTTCCCAGGAAAAGTTCTTGGTTATTACACTCAGATTTTTAAAATGCAAATGCTTAAAAATCTAAATTGAATAAGAGAAATGCAAGTGACCCATGCCATACAATGTTAATACAGCCAACAAACAAGAAAAGTAAAATAAGCTAAGTATTCTAAACACTATTTTGATTTAGCTACTTACTGATAAATGCTCATGGTAAATGATTAGCAAGTCCATGGTGTTTAAGATCAAAGTTTTAAAACATTTTTAATAAAAATATTTTCTTTGACCCTGAAATACGGGAGTAGTATCTGCAATACAAAATATTTCTTTTGCATTAAAACTGTTTTCCCTTTCTGTATGCAACATGCCACAGATGAATTATCAGCTTTCCAGGATCTGACGGTTAATTTGTAAGAAAGAAGTTGGTCTGAACATTTTCTACTGTTTTCTGTTGTCAACACGATGCTCACTGAAAGTGCATGGAAATGCAATGTCTTCATAAAATGACTGAGGCCATGAGTGAATGAAAGCTAGAATTTTTACCTTTTCAATACATTTCACAATTTGAAAGGTTTGGTTTTCTCTCAAAACCAGAATGAAAACTATATATGTATATATAATTTTTTTTCTGAAAAATTATGTGAAGCAGAATTATCACTCCCTGGATAATTTAGATATAGCTACTTCATGGAGCACAGTTCAGGTGAACCTCCATAAACAGACGGAGCAACTACGAGTTCTGGTAAGCTTCATGCAAACACTAACACAGCCCACCTGAGATTCATTTGCACTGCGTATTGCCAGACTGTGACCATATTGTTACTTACATCTCAAAAAAGTTATTTGGTATGATTCCTCCAACATTCTGGTGCATAAATTTTAAAATAGCAAGGTAGACATATACATTCAAAAAGAAATACTCCCTGTATGGCCTGCAAGTGAGCACTGCCCCGTTCTTAACTCTTCACAAGATTTAATTTTTAATGTTTCTCTGTGTCTCGTACTGCCCAATTTCTTCCTCAACAGAAACAGCCTATTTGCGTATTTTCCTATTCTACTTTAAGAATGGCAGAGTATTTTAATTTTCGTTGTGTGCTTGGCATTGCAAGCACCTTCTTACTGCAGGAAAAGTTGTCCATATAATTATTACAATAAATATTATTATAACTCCAGCATAACTGCAAATAGTTTCCTTCGAAAGTGAAGCTAGTTATATTTAATTCAGTAAATTCACCAGGCTAATATTGTTCATGGGAATGGAAAAAAAACCCAGCTCTAGTTGCCAAGAAAGCAAACAGATAACGCAGCTGCAATTCAGGATTAAGCAGTAATTCAGAGCAGAATACAGTATCCTCTATTTTGAAAATATGAAGTATATTTTTAATTTACATGCAGGACAGTTAGGTGCAGTCTAACAAAAAAGCAGTGAACTTGGGGCGAGACGGGGAAACCAGGAAAAGGGGTACACCCCCCACATCAGGCTGAAATCAGGAATGGCAAGTCTGAGCATTGAAGAAGTCTTCATTTGCTGGAGCAGACGGGTTTTGCTATTAGGATGCCTGGCCAAACAAAAACAATTGGCTGCCAAAATTAGCTCCTTGGGACGATTTAGGAGCCTTTGAAGTGAACAGTTTTTTGAGCTGGAACTAAGCCCAGGTCCAGCTTCAAACTCAAATCAAAATGACAAAGAGGAAATTTTCTGTGCCACACGCCCCCTCAGTGTAAGATTACTTTGGGTTGGCAGCTGTACTGTTTATCTTGTTATTTAAAGCTATTTCACTAGATACTCACAACTGAGCATTTAAACAACTGGCCCCGATTATGACGACAGCAGTTATGTTTGACCGCATTTTGGAAACATCACACAGTCTGATGGATAAATAAAAGTGTTGCTGGCCTCACAGTTAAGAGTAATTAAAGAAGCTTAGAATGTGCATGAGGTAAATGTTGCACAGTATGCATATAAATTATAAATATCTCTTTAGGAAAAGAACCCCAGCCATTTCTGTATTTGAAGATACAGATTTTAATCAGGTTTCACCAGTGTGAGAAAGTAAGGCCTGAAAATACCACTTGGCCTTGCCAGATCTGCCTCACAGCAGCGACAAGAGTCTATCCCACTGTATCACTGCAGCAGTATAAAGAGAAAGGAATCAGAAGCCATGCTCTCGTGTCTGCCTAATTTGATGGTGAAATGTAGGTTCAAATCGTGCAGTGAAGCACTGTGATGCACCGCTGGTTGATTCTGGTTGGCTGCCAGGATCATCTTGAATTTAAGCTGATTGCTACACAGCGTAGAAGTTATGAAGTACGTAGATAATCCTTTCGAAGCTGCAGGAACAAAATTTGTGAGTGGAGAAAAACAGGCTTCTTCAAAATTATTTTCTCTGTCTGTCCCTCACTGTTGGTAGGTGGAATGAATGAGCTTACAAATACGAATTCCCACATATTGGTGAGATTGATCCTAGTTTGGCAGTCTCAGGATCCTAGGAGCATGGAGCTGAGCTTTATGGTATTTTTCCACAATGCATTCTTAAATCACGCCATATAATTCTCAGCATGAGAGGCCTGTAATTCTCAAGACCAAGGCCTATTTTTAACTTCCCAAACGAAGTTAATATAACGCTTCCTTTTTAAACTTGTCAAGCTTTGACTCCTTTCACTCTAGTAAATTGTCAGTGACTCAAGTTCAACTGACAGAGCTTAACAAGACCTATGGACCCTTTCAATATATTTGACTGCTTGACTGTCATGTGTGCTCATCAGTTCTAAACAATAGAGTCAAAAAGGGTGACATAAAGCCACCAAAGATTTGTCTCAATCCACACGCTCTGACGTAATAGATTAGACTTGCCAAATGCTCACATAGTTTATCTTTGGAATGTTATTATTAATGCAAATTCTAAAGAGATTTTGTATCTGAGTATGCAGACATACATACAGACCATGTACAAATAACTTTGGCAAACCAACGAGACCTTGTAGACCTACATAGCAGCTTGAAGGCCTTTGAAAATGCATCCCCCCATATTCCAGTGATAAATTTGCATTAACAGTGTTTCTTTCCAAACAATTTTGAGAGTACTGTACAATTTCCTGTAATATAAAAATGGACTTTGGAATAAGTTAGGAATGACAATGAAGTATCTTCTTGGAAATGTAACGAAGTAGAAAGTCAGCTGCTTCAGACCAAAGAGAGAATTGACAAACAACCGTAGCATAACTGCTCACAGATTTTAAGGCCAGAAAGTACCATTATGACCATTTATTCTCAGCTCCTGCATACACATTTCAGGTAATTTCCTACAGCAAAGCTGCCAAGTCTGTAATAATTATGAGGCTGTTATGCACGTGATAAACTTGGAACAATAAGCTTACAATAAACTTATGATACCTGATTTACAGCCTTGCATAGTCTTTCCCTGTAATGACAACATTTCATTTTGTTGCATAAATAGAGATTTGGTTGCAGAAATGGAGATTAAAGTTGCATTAGGTTGTATGAATGCAGATTTCCTTCAGAGGTTAGGAGAAGTAGCATGTGAAGAAGTTTCAAAGATAAATTGTATAATCTCTGTAATGAAAAGTGTTCTACCTATAGCTGTGATTCAGAGCACCGAGTCCTCTTCTGAGCCAGTCTAACAATACCGAAGACCCTGTATAATTGAGTGATGTCAACCATGAAACCATGCGCTATGCAAAAGGTAAACCAATCCATGAAAGGTTTGGATCTCAGGAAAAAATGTTTTTGTAGTGCTGGAGTTATATCTGTTGAGAAGAATCAATGGTAGAAGGAATAACTGAAAAGTGGGCACAGCCGCTAGAATCCTAACTCTATCTTCATGCTATTGAATAGTAAAAACAGGGAACAAAACTCCCTTTTCTTTAGCATGAAATCAACATCCACAGGTACACATCAAGGCTTTAGAGGATGCAGTGGGAAATTCTGAATAAATGTCCATGCAGTAATTACGTCCTTAGCATAGGGTGAGCCCGCTGAGCAATCTTGCTTTCCCCACAAGGCTGGGACACAGCTCATGTGCACGCCTCATTTGAAAACCAGGCAGTACTGCCAAGTGCCACTGCACAGCCATAGTCCACAACCCCCTCTGTTTAATACTAAGTGGTCATATTTAAGTATTCCCTATGATCCTCATGCTTGTAATAGTAAAATTAGAGTTTTAAATTGAGCTGTCATAGTAAGCCTCCTGACCTATTAATAGCCACGGAGGTCTCTTAACAAGGAAGCAAACCAGAAATGGCAAGCTGTTATACAAGTAAAACGTTGATCCAGCTAACTTTTATTCTTAGCAAATTTATCAATACTGGTTAACAATACTTCCAACTAGTACAGGGCCTTCTGACATGACAAAATGAGTGTAACAACCCATTCTGTCAATACAACACAAATGTCATTTCAAGTGCTCAAAACCCACTAAGCTACCCTAAAAAAGATTGATTTATCTGCTCCAGTGTTTCTTTGGGGCAAACTTTT